TGTGTGTGTGTGTGTGTGTGTGTGTGTGTGTGTGTGTGTGTGTGTGTTGGAGGTCAGAGAGCAACCTCAGAGTCATTGTGTTATGTAATAGTTTCTTCCAAGACTGAAACATTCTACCCTCCAGGGAAGCTCCTTAAGCAGCAAGGTAAACAACTCTAGATAGCTTCAAGAAATCCCTGAAACTGACAAGATTCACTAAATCCCTCCCTGCCAGAGTACAGAAGCTGAACTGCAGCTTAGGTTCTCAGACAACCCAAGCTCCAAAGAATTGGTCTGGAAGAAGCAGAAGCCAGTTGAGCTGCCTGGAAGAGGTTTAGACCAGGGTCACTTGGAAGAGACACCCTCCAATCTGTTGAGCTGCCTGCCAGCTGCACAGTGTGCTCCAAGTTCCCAGGTTTTGTGAGTTGTCACTCATGCTATGGTGGGCCTTGGTGCTGGAGCTGTCTTTGAGTCATTTCTATTCCTGTAAGTAACCCCTCACTCATATTCCTGTAAGTAATTCCAATATAACTCATTGGTTCACCAAATTGGACTATGGTGGTATCTATACTTAGGTAGGTTCCCTATCTGGGGTTAGAAGACGAATGTGCTGCATCTCCACAGGAAAAGTTTTGTCACACAACAATGCCTTCTTCCTTGTTTGCTAGTAAATTCACTAGGCTAACTGGCCTTTGAGTCTCTGGGGTTCTCATGTTATTGCTACCCTGCCCAGCTTTATGTGGGTTCTGGGGACCCAAACTCAGGTCCTCACACTTCTTTGGCAAACATTTTAGTCAATGAGCCATCTCTGAGTCCCCAATTGTCCTCTATTATAACCCATCCAGCTGCTGGCACTGCTCATATCTTATAAAACTAAAAAAGGGGAACTGTGCCCTTCCCCCAGTCTTGAGCAGGCCTAAGAGATGAGACCTTGTTTACCACAATAGACCAAACAATTGGACTCTGGAGGTATGGCCTGGGCATTTCCTGCCCTTGGTGGAGGCAGTGCTTGCTTTGGCCTTGGCGCCTTTCTGTCTGCCTGTAGCCTGGTACACGAGCTGAGAAGAATAGACATCTCCGGCCTGCAATTACCTATGGATTCCTCTCACCTCCAGCAGGATGGTTTCCGCTCACCCCCAGCCGGCTGAAGCAAGAAGGAACTCTGGGGGTGGGGGTGGGCTATCCCCTTTAAATTGAAAGTTGAACATTAAAGCATTGAGCCTCGATCAGAAACCTTTGTCCTGGCTTCATCTCTTCCCACCCTCCTGTCCCTTCCCAGCCTCTCTTTAGGTGAACCCGGTCGACTGTGGCCGACGGCCCTCTACAGTCCTCATTTTATAGGATGGTTTATAATGAAGGAGGAAAACTGTCCTTCAGGGAGGTGATAGGGTGTACTGTGCATGTGATTCAATGGGCTTTAAGTGCATGCTTTTATTTGGGCTGTGTTACACTAAGGCCACATGTATACACTGAAGAATAGATAAAAACGTGAAATTAGAATATCGACATAGAACTGTGTGTAGGTGGCACTTGTCTGTAATCCTAGCAATAGAGAGATGGGGAAGGAAGGACTGCAAGTTTAAGGCCAGGCTATGCTACATAGTAAGACTCAGTCTCAAAAACCTATTGGCTGGGAACGTAGTGCAGTGACACAATGTTAGCCTAGCATGGATAAGGGCTTAAGTTTTACCACCAACCCCCAACCACAAAACAGGGTAGCCAAGTGGGATTGAGGAGCCCTAGTTTCAGCCCAGCTCAGCCATTAGACTGGCTGTGTGATATTCAAGCTCTTTAATCACACTGTATTGTAACAAGGTGAATTACAAAGTTTTATCCTACTCCTAAGCACTGTGAATTTTTAAATAAAATTCTTATCTTTGCACTGGAGAGATATCTCAGTGGTTAAGAGTTCATAAATGCTCTTTCAGAGAACCCAGATTCAGTCACTAGTATCTGTGTCAGGAAGCTCACAACCACATGCATCTCTAGTTCCTGAGGGCTCTCCTGCCTTTAGCCTCTGTGAGTATCTTCATTCATATACACATACTCATACACATAATTAAAATTTTTTTTGAGGACTCTTGTCCTCAAAATTAAAACAACTGATAAACCAAATGGAATGAATTTTCTCCACTGAACTGTTGACTTACAAAGATTATAAGCATGTTGGCCTAATGGCTCTGGGATAGTCTTACTAGTTTTAAAAAAATTAACAACAATTTCCAGGAAGCCAATATGGATTGTCCTTACAGATTTGCAGTTAAAATTTTGAGTTTGTCTAAAAGAAAATATTGTAGTGTGAGTATATGTGTATGCATGTATGTACATGTCTGTGTGTGTGTATATATAAAGTAAAATTTGCCATTTACCTATAAAATTAAAAAATTAAAATTTGCTACATAGTTTATAATATCTCTGAATCAGCAGTTGGTTTCCATACATTGCTTTTTATTACTAAAACCTGTAACCTGTCCAGAGGACTGGATAATGATGATGATAATTTCCCCAAAAATCCCTCCCAAAGTGCTTGTAGGCTTCATACATTTAAAACTATTCTCTTCTTAAATTTTATTGCCAGAGAGCTCATAAATAGAGGAGGACCACCTCTGTGTTGATAGCTCAGATTCCCACTACACCGAGAACACGTGGCTTTGCCCAACTTACTTGTTGGGCAGATCGAATCATCGAAAACGTCATCTTCAGATCCGGACTCGTCCTCGTCGCTCTCCAGGCTGGACTCCTCTTCACTCGACTCCTCACTCTCTTCATCCTCGTCTAAGGCGAGAAGATATTATTAGGAGAACAGATCCTACAGCACCAAATACAGGGTTTCCCATCAGTCAGCTACTCGGGGAAAAGACACAGTGGGAACAGCTTAAAATCATTAAAGATATATCATTTGTCCTGTCTTCAACTCGTTGAATCCAGTCATAGCAAGAGTGCTGCTATGGTAGCTTAGTGAACCTGCACTCTCCCCAGCTGACAAAATCCTCCAGTCTCCCCTTCCCCTAAAAGCTTATCCCTCTGGTCTGCCTTCTGTGAACATTCTGTTCGATTTCAGCAAAGCATTACCTTATCTGTTAGTAATTTCCTATCTACTGGCCAGTCCCTTGCTCTTCTGTTAGAGGCTATCATTTATCCTTGCATCCAGAGTTGAATTCTACCTTCTCCCCACCCCAAAACGTCATTTAGCAGCCAGTTGGATAGTCTATGTGATCGCTCTTTAGCAAGGATCATGAGCAACTTTCCATTGTTATGTTGTATGTGGCATTTTTATAAAATATACAAATGTCTGAATATTATCCTCAAGATAAGTGATTACAGACTCCTTTAGCATGTCCCATTTTGCTCTTAAAATATCTTGGGAATGTCTATACACCACACATCATAAATTCATGTGTTATGGAACTTCAAATTAAACACAAGAGGCAGACCTTATACTTTTGTGATTTATTTTTTCATTCACTCATTTATTTTTAACTATGGCCTTCCACATGCTAGGGCTTTGCTAAATTGTCCAACAGACCAAACTTGTACCCATTTCAACCAACTGAGAAACCAGGGTTACAGGCCTCTATTTCTGTTCCAGGCACATAGACACACATACACACACACATATATACATACATGCGTCCACCACAAACCACTCACTCAACTATACACATACATGTGCATGCACATGTACACACTCATACATACACATGCATGCAGTATACACAAGCACACACACTTTAGTACACACATATATGTGCACACAGGCAAGTACACACACACATACACCACACAAATGGACTCACACTCCAGTTCTTCAAACACACCCTGTCAGTTTATAGCCCCTGCTCTTTAGTCCCTACCATACTTCTGCATTGCCTGTGCAGTAGTAGGTGAGAACCGCACCAGACAGAAAGCTCGGTTATGTCTCTTGTTAGTGCTGATGAGAAGAAATGGAGTAGCAAGTGAGGGAAGAACACCAACCAGCGTCTCCTTCAACTTCCTTCTTCTTTGCCCGCTTAATCTTCTTCTTCAGGACCTTCATGAGGAAGTTTGCAAATTTATTGTTTTCTCCCAGGGCTGCCTGGAAGCCAGTGTAGAGAGCCTTTTCCTGATCCTGGAGTTTGGTGATTTCATTCTTTTTCTCTTCCATCTCTTTAAGAGTTTCATTTATTTTCCACTAAAGGGAGGGAGGGAGGAACATATGATACATAATGTTTCTAACAAGCTGGCTTCAGAGTACAACACTCATTCTGATGCAAAGCTAGAGACTAACAGATATTTTGAGCTTCTTAATAGAAATCTACTGATGTTTCTAGAACTGTTTATTTGATTAAATTTATATTCTTTAAAACTATCACTCAAGTTCAGTATCTTTGGAATGTTCACCTTTGTCAAAAAAAATCTAAATGAAACAAATTGGAATTTTGGTTTGGTTTCATTTGGTTTTCTGTTTGTTGGTTTTTTTGAGTCAGGGCTTTTCTATGTAGCCCTGGGTATCCTGGAACTTGCTCTGTAGACCAGGCTGGTCTTGAACTCACACAGATCCGATTGCTTCTGTCTCCTTAGTAGTGGGATTAAAGGCGTGTGCCACCATCACCTAGTCAGATTAGAATTTTTACTGACAGTCAGATAAAATGGAGCCTACAGAGAAATGTAATCACAGGTTTGAAGCGGTGCATCTAACATGGCACAGGGCCAGCATTCATAGCTGAATTTCTGAATGCCCATCCCAGAAGACTGACCAACATCTCCATCTTAACCCATGAAGGATTGATTGATTGCCCACTGATGGGAGCAGTATCTGTGACCAGACATGAGCCTCAAAGTCAAAAAGGACTTCTCAGAGTGACAGCGTTTGAAACCTGACCTCTCTCTGCAGAATCACCTGGGAGTAAAGCCAGCACCACACCCAGGGCCTTGACAGGCCTTTGGAGGCCCCAGAAAGACTGCCACCGGAGCAGAAGCTGTAGCCAGTAATTCGATTCTGTGCCCATTCTTCTCTTTCCTTTACACGTACCCCCTCCACCTCTGCCCTGTATCTAATGCTCAGTGCCAGGTTAACCTTCTCTCCCTCCTTCCTTCCTCCTTTGTTCTTCCATTATTCGTCCCTTGCCCCACCCCAACCCTCTTTTCCCAAAGAACACAGGCCAGCCTGGTAGGCAGGGTTTCACTTCCTGAGACTTGGGACTCTTAGATGACCTGACAACCTATTTTTTTTTTTTTACCTCTCTTCTCACCCACAACCCTTGTCTCTATAACACCATCATCCTAATCTGTTTGTATGCTGCTCAGTTAGGTTTGAGGACTGCTGTGTGCTTTTTACTATATTTTCCACCCATGTCTCATACACCTCTTAGCCTTAGAGTTCTCTCTGTCATCTTTATCCCCTTATCTTTTTTCCTTCACGATTATAATCTTCTAGAGACTTAACAATCTCTGAACTCTGAAGACCCTACTAGATCCCTACTTTTTCCTTCCCTGCTGTTTTACCCAGATTGATCTTTCTTTCTTTTCAAAGTAGATAACAGCATGTGTATCCCCGTTCTTACTCCCCAGAAGCAGTCTACAGATCAATGGAATCCTAAACAAAATTCTGATGACATTCTTCACAGAAATAGAAATCTTAAAAATCATAGGAAGTATGAACTATCCTGACAGCCATAGCAATTGTATGCAAAAATAATTCTGCTGGAGGAAACACCATGCCATATTTCAAGTTAGAGTCACAGAAAACAACAACAGCCGCAAAACCTGTAACAGCAACAACACAGCTTAGTACTCTCAAAAAATTGAACACACCAAGAAGAGCTTGCTGACAGAAGCCTGGTATAGCTGTCCCTTGAGTGGCTCTGCCAGAGCCTGACCAATAAGGATATGGATGAATGCAGGCAAACATTGGACTGAGCATGGTGAGGAGTTAGGGCAAAGACTGAAGGAGCTAAAGGGGTTTGCAACCCCATAGGAAGAACAACAATATCAACCAACCAGACCTCCCAAATCCCCCAGGGACTATATCACCAACCACAGAGTACACATATGGAGACCCATGGCTCCAGATGGATATGTAGCAGAGGATGGTCTTTTCTGGCATCAATGGGAGAGGAGTCCCCTTGGTCCTGTGGAGGCCCGATGACCCAGCATAGAGGAATGCTAGAGTGGTGAGGCAGGAGTGGGTGGGTAAGTGGGTAAGGGAGCACCCTCATTGAGGCAGGGGGAGAGGGGAGGGATTTGAGGGGTTGTGGAGAGAAAAAATAAGAAGGGGGATAACATTTGAAATGTGAATAAATAAAATAAACAATAAAAATTGGGCATACAGATTAATAGAACAGAATAGAAGACTAGATATAAGTCTACATAATTATAGCCACCTCATTTTGACAAAAATGTCAAAATCACACATTAAAGAAAAGATAGTATCATCAGCAAATGGTGATATATATATATAAATGAAATTAAGTCCTTATCTTTCACTTTGCCCAAAAGTCAACGCTAAATAGATTGACACATCAGTCTAAGGCCTGAAAATCATACCGGATGTAAGATATCCCTATAAGTTATTGGACAGGAAGGACCCAGAGACTACCAAAACAAAGCAGGCCAATGCTTTTAGCTGGCCCCTATAACAATATGGTAGGACCCTATTGCCATAGACACCACGAACTTTTGTTGCACAACATGGAAAACTCAAGCTGCGACTGACCTCGGAACTTCCTCTCTGTTGGCTACCTTTCCAAGTGCTGGAGGGGTTTGCAAGCCATAGGGAGATGCAAATCGTCAACACTCTTACTCCACCTGCTAGAATATCCTGCTAGACTATCACCCTTCCAGGCTGTGTGTGCCAGCTGGTACAATAGTGACATGACAGTTACAGGTGCGTCCTTCTGCTTTCTGATCCCAGTTGAGGTCTGCTCCACAGGAAAGGATCCATCCCTGGCTTTATGAACCTGGACAAAAACTGGGGAGAGTATAGACCCTAAGAGGAACCTATTACTGTTGTTTTGCTAAATGGGCATATTGTCAAATAGACTTCTAAACATCTCTGATTATGTTCGTAGAATGGTGCTGATCTCTACCTTGGAAGAGGGAAGCTTGTTTTTGAGGTGGGCAGCTGTTCATGCAGAGACTCATACCTGGCCAAAATACTAAGGATGGGTGATCGTTGAGTGCCTAAATGGGACAACTATACCACTCCTGCCCCAAGCTTTCGGGGATAATGCAGAAGAGGGATAAAAGGAATGTAAGACCCAGAGGATCAGGGGAGTCCTGTGAAATGCTATCTGTTAGACATGGCATAGTCATTACACTCATGACTTCACTGTAGCTATGATTACTTGTGTAAGACCTGGGCAAAATCAAGGCAGTCAACATTCTATCTAGGATACGGATGTGCTCATGATGTCCCAAGTTTAGGAAAGGAGTTATGTAAAATAGAAGGATGCTGAGGGAGACAGAGTAATTTTTCTTTGGGTGTGGTCATTGGTAGGGTGTCCATTCTCTGATGGGAAGGGGGGAGGAGGAGGAGGAGGAGGAGGAGGAGGAGGAGGAGGAATAAGGTTAGTTTGGAGGGGCTAGGGGCTGGAAGGAAGGAGCTTAAGGGTGGAAATCATAAAGATACATTATATGAGTGTGTGAAATTGTCAACAAATAAAAAATAGAAATGTTCTTACAAAAACCAAGCTATATCATTTGCAGAAAAATGGTTGAAACAGGATATAATTATCTTAACCAAATGAAGCTAGTAACAGAAAGACCAATATGTTTCATCTCATATATAGTTCCCAGATTTTGTGTGAGTGTATGTTCATATGTCTGCAGGGGTACATGTATTCACACATGTAGAAGATAGAGATGGACGTTGTGTTTTCCTTAATCATCTTCTGCTTTATTATTTTTAAATGTCTCTCGCACATGTGAGTGTACGAGAATTTGTGTGTGTGTGTGTGTGTGTGTGTGCATATGTACACATGTGTGCGTATACCTGTACCACAGGGCATATATGGTCAAGAAAACATCTTTTGAGAGTCGGCTCACTCCATTTAGTGCAGTGGTTCTCAACCTGTGGGTCACAACCCCTTGAGCAAAATTCTGTCTCCAAAAAATATTTCCATTACAATTCATAACAGTGGCACAATTATAGTTATGAAGTAGCAACAAAAACAATTTTATGGTTGGGGGTTACCGCGACACAAGGAACTGTGTTAAAGGGTTACAGCATTGGGAAGGTTGAGAACCACTGCTCTAGTGAATGAATTGAAGAGCTGAACTCAGGTCATCAGACTTGTTGGCAAGCACCTTTATCCACTGACCTATCTTGCTAGCCTTCTCTGTCTTGTTTTTCTGAGACAGCATGTCTCATTGAACCTGAAGCTTGCCAACTTGGCTTAGATTGGCTGACCAGCAAGATCCACAGACCCCCCCTTTTTTCTGCCTCCTGGACTTGGATTACAGACATGGGCTGTTGTGCCTAGCTCTTTACACTGGTTCTGGAGAATCAAATTAATCTTCCCAAAGTAAGGAGAACAGTCAACCAGGATCCAGCCTGTTCTTACTTGCATGTCTTGCTCCTCTTTGTCTAAGGAATTAACTCTCTCTTGAAGAATATTTTCCTGTTTTTCAAAATTCTTGAGGAGAAGCATTTCTTGAAATAAGGTGACATGGTGTAGGTCCGATAATTTCATCTTAGTATCTAGCTTCAGTTTCCGGTGTCTTAGAAGATGAAGTTCTGCATCAAAAGTGACAGTCAGTTCTTTGATCTGAGGTAGAAAAGAGATTTGAGGATATGTAAGTTAAAAAGCAAATGTTCTTTTTCAAACTGTCCAACAGTACTAATGTATCTAAAATATTTCTCATTATATATTTTCACTAGAGATATAATTATATGCTCATAAAAACTCACTTATGAGTGGCATTAAATTTGCATAGCTCAGTGATGGGAATTCTATAATGCAGTCCTTTAAGCTACTGTATCACTATTGATTAAGCCATTGTTCAGTGACATCATATATATATATATATATATATATTCTTTAACCCGTTTTCAATGTTTTCTCATAGTAAGTCTAAATAAACATTACTCTTAACTGCTTTATTTAAAAAAAAATTGAAAATGTAGATAGGTGGCAAGCCCAAGCCCAGTTGTCATCAGAGGGGCATCACCAGCAATGGATGAACAATGGGAACAGATGCAGAGACTCACAGCCAAACACTAGGCAGAGCCAGGGTGTAGTGGGTTGAATATGTTTGCTCCCCATAGACTCATGTATTTGAATGCTTGGCCCATGAGGAGTGGCACTAGTAAGCAGTGTGGCCTTGTTGGAGGAAGTGTCACTGTGGGAGTGGGATTTTAGGTGTCTACACTCAAGCTCCACCCAGTGTGGAATTAGAGTCTCCTTCTGATTGCCTTCAGATCAAGATGTAGAACTCTCAGCTCCCTCTCCAGCACCATATCTGCCTGTAGGCTGCTATGTTGTCACCATGATAATGGATTAAACCTCTGAAACTGTCAGCCAGCCCCATTTAAATGTCTTCCTTCATAAGAGTTGCCTTAGTCACAGTGTCTCTTCATAGCAATAGAAACCCTAACTAAGAAGCAAGGGAACCCTGAAGAAGATGGGATCAGAGGTGGAGAGTGGGAGGTTAGGTGGGCCTTAGGAGCCAGAGGGGTCAAGTATAACATGAGAACACAGCCCACAGAATCAACTAAGCAGAGCTCATAGGGGCTCACAAAAACCAAAGTGACAATCATTGACCTTAGATGGGTCTGAGCATTTGCATGCCTCATGGTTGTATAGGTGATGTTCTTGTGGAACTCCCAACAGTGGGAACAGGGGGTGGCTCTGACTCTTTTGCCTGTGTTTGGGACCCTTTTCTTCCTACTGGGTTGCCTCATCCACCAGTGATATGAGGGTCTGTGCCCAGTCTTGCTGTATCTTGTTAGGAAATGTTTGGTGGATATCCCTGGGCAGCCTGTTTTTATTTATTTGTTCTTTTGAAGGGAAACAGAAGAGGAGTTGATCTGAGAAAGAAGGGATGGAGGAGGAGGGACTGGGAGGAGTGGAGAGAGGGACACTGTGGTGAGGATGTAATATGTGAGAGAAGAATAAAAATCTATAAAGAATGGAAAATATTTTTACATAGGTAAACACAACAATAAAGTCACAAGAAACTGTTCAACTGTCACATTTTACAAATGAAAAATGAGGTTAAGGTGATTGTTCTTGTTTCAAGGCTACCTTAATATAAAAGGTGGAACAGAAATCCAAGTCCCAACTCCAAAGTCCAAGTCCTGACTCCTGGCCTGGACCTTATTCGCTATGGCCAAGGAGCTATATATCCTCATGTGAACTCTGATTGGCCACAGCTCTACCTACTCATGGCAGCATTAGTGAAAAGCCTAAGAGGGAATGTGACTAATGATGGCCCCAAGGAAGCTTGCACAGTGGGGGACAGAAAACCACTGGATGTTATTTGTTGGGTTGTACATTACAGGAAGTCTTGACTGTCAAAAACTTGGTGTGTGTGAAGTCCCCTACTAGAGGATAGTGAACAGTAAGATGTCTTCGGGTTTGTGGTGGTCAAATTGTTAGAGAATTTTAGAGTGCTAAAATTCAGAAATCAACCCAAAGAAAAGAAAAAAAAAGAACCCCAAACTTTTAAGTAAGTGTGGTTATAGAGTGCATATTTGGGCTTCCTTTTATGCTTATTCAATAAGGGCAGGAGGACATTTTCTTTCTCAAAAAGCCATTCTGAAACCGGACCACAGGGGTCTGTGGGTCTGTACAGGTTATCCCTGTTCTGTTGGCTCTCGTAGCAGATAGCTTGCTAGGTTTGTGAGGGTGGTTTTTTTTTTGGGGGGGGGTTGGTTTTTTGTTGTTGTTGTTGTTGTTGTTGGTTTTTGGTTTTTTGTTTTGTTTTTAGCACTGCTGTGTTCCCACTACCCGGCTATTAAGTCTCTGCATGTGGCATGGTCAACAGACGTTTGTTACATTAATAAAATCAGTAAATTAATGTGATTATAGCAAAGCTTGTGAAAGAACATCTACTATGTGTCTGCCGTGCCTTATGTCTAGACATCATGAGGGAAACAGAAGAGGGAAGAGATATGACCCTTATCTGAAGGACTGTAAACTCTACCCAGTAAGACAAAGCTAACACACATGAAACATCACGAAGACAAGTGTAAAACGTAAAGGTGCTGACTGCAATGGAGTCCGGAAACAAGGAGAGGGTGTGTGTGTGGAAGATGCTGGAGCCGGCTTGGACTGGTCTTGCTTTGAGTGATCCCAGCTCTGAAAGGCAGTCGTCGCAATTACAAGGGGTAAAGGAAAAGGCTCTGATATGAAACTGTGGTAAAAAGAGAGCCTGGGAGGCAGGCCTAGTGGGAAAACAGGCCTGGGTGCAGTATGTCTGATGATGGAGGCGGCGGCTGAGGAGCTACAGGGAGCACTTTTGCAGGGTGAAGCTGAAAAGAACTGAGGAAAGTGCTCCTTGTTTATGTCTGGTCACAGGAAACTATCCAGGAAAGGTTCTTTCCTTCCGTGGTTAAACTGTACCCTGCACTTCTCATCCAAAGACTGGTTCTGGTTTCCCTGAAAATAACAGCACCTGTCGTTTCAGTTCTAGAATAGTTTTGAATCCAGTCACACCCACAGACACTCCCTCCTACTGGAGCAATCCATACATTAAAAAAAGAAGAGTGGATGGGCCAGCATGGTGACCACTTTCCACCACTGACGCGGTGGTCAGTTCTTTTCAGCTTCACCCTGCAAAAGTGCTCCCTGTAGCTCTCCAGCCTCTTCCTTCACCGTCAGCCAGCCTTACTGCATCCAGGTAGCTGAAAGCCTGAAGCAGGAGGATTAGCCACAACTTTGAGGCCAGTTCGGGCTACTTGGTGAATTTTAGACCAACCTGAGCTACAAAGTGAGACCAGAGAGATAGAAAGACAGAGAGAGACATTCTATTTATCCTCTCAAGGCTGTCCTTCCAGTTCCCTTTACCGTGACTTAATTGAGTTGCAAGTGTCTTCTGATGTGTTGCCCTGTAGGAAAAAAGGATACAAAGCTCCAGCATTCTTCAGAAAGCCCAAAACTTATTTAGAAAACCAGTGGGGGCCAGGGGAGGGGGCACGGGGAGAGAAAGCCAAGCCATCAGTGAATAATGAGCTGGTCAGCACTTGGAGAAAAGGTTAATGCGGAGAAATCTGAAATCAATCAATCAATCATAAGCCAGACCGAATTCTCTCACTATTCATTCTTTCGGCTTTACATAGAGGGGTGGCTTTGCCTCTTACCCTGTTGCACAAAAACTGTTGCATGTACAAGTGTTTAACCTCGTCTCTCTTCATAATCTCCAGTTCCACGTCACCTGGCTCCACCTTCTCAAACTCGGTTTGCTTTGGAAGCTCCAGGAGCGCTGATGCCTTGGACGACCGAGACAGAGAGTCTCTCGTTGTCACTTCTCCCTCTTTTCCCGAGGACAGTTTGAGGAACCCTAGCCCTCCTCCGGTTGAGCCCCCGGATCCCGACTGCTTGCTGCTGCTCTTTTCATCCTGCCGTTTCTTCTGCTTTCTCTTAAATCTCAAGAGTGTTTCCTCGTCATACTGGAATCTCCGTTCTGGGACTTCTTCTGGATATATCTGTGGGACCTGGGGAATGGGCATGTGCTTGGACGCTGGGATGGAAGACTGAATGTTCTTCAGTTCTTGTACCAGGCACTGGATTTCCTCAATGACGGCCAACTTGAGATCTCGAAGGGAAAGGATGCACTTGTTCATGTACCTCTTCTTTCCATGGGCCTGAAACAGAGAGGGTGGGAACATCACAGCCTTCTTACAGAGGGCAGTCTCGAATGGTTATTTACCATTTATCTTTGGACTGGCAAGACCAGGGAAAAGTGAACATCTCTGTCCCAACCACTCAGTGATGCTTTCCTCTGGCTTCAGGTGTCACTCATGAAGACTACAGCCAGCCTGTATCTGACCTCTGGAACCCTTTCTCTTTTTCCCATTGGTCCCTTCTGCTGGTTTGCAAAGTTGGGTTTCCTGTCCTTCAACCTCTTCATGGAAGTCTCTCAGGAGACATCTGTTTAGCTGGACACTATGTTTAGCTGGACTCTGCTATGGGAGAGGATGGCATTAACTAGCTCCTTTCCAAGATGGAAATTTGGATTTTTTTTTTTTAGGTTCACTTTGGCTGCCCACGTAGGACTTAACTATAAGTCATCCTGTTCTCATTCTGTATTTTTGCCACTGTTTACTGTTTACTCCTTTGTGGTCACGATCCTAAACATCAGGATCACACAGCATACCATGACATCTTTCTGTGGGTTTTCTTCCCTCTACTTATTTGAGCCAAAGCACGCCTGCACCAGTACTGTATACAGCCATGGGTTTCTCGCTACATACTTTGTCCTGTAAGTATCTCCCAGAGCCTAAAAGCACAACAGCCACTGTGTGCAATGAGGCTGAGAACTAGACGAAGCATTATTCCACATGAAAATAGTTTTTTTAAAGACCAAATGCACTTTTTCAAGTAGTCCTGTAAAGAAAAGATTAAATGATGACATTTGTTCTAACTGTTTAATGGTCTGCAGCAGTCAGAAAACAAATCTACCAAAGATTCCATTAAATTTCAGAAGTTCAAAAACATACATGAAACAGTATAGGACTTTCCCCATAAAAGTGGCATGGAGCCATATAATCAACATGAAGGTTGGTTCTGATATATGAGCTGGTAACACTCATAGACAAATCTCTTGCTCTCTCTGGGTCTCTGTCTCATCTTTTATAAAAAGAGGATGTATTCTAGACTCCTACAAAAATTGCCTTCAGCTCTAAATGTCTGTATCTATATGCATGTGTGGATCAGAGAAATAAATGGGGTTGAACAGACTCTACTTAACAACAGGATGCTTTTCATGGTCATGGAGTCTGAGTGTTAAGTACCATCGAGTCAAGGAACCCGAGTTCCTCCTCCTTCTTGGCTGCATTTATTCTCATGTGCTCAGGTATCTTGTAGTCTGGAGCTGTCTTCAGATTGAAATCCCCCATGAATGTCTGGGCTTCTTTGATAGCCTGAACATCTTTGGGATCTTCGTAGTCATCATCAGGCTTGCTCTTGTAACTGTCAGAGACGTAGCAGAGACACGAATGTAACAATGGACTCTACATGTACACTTGCCCCTCCTCCCAGAACTCCATGGAAACAACTTTTGGGAGGTACAGAAAGCAATGCTGAGTCATCAGAGAAACTGAAGATAGGATGGAAAGCTATTAGGAAGCCAGTTATAGTGATACAGCTTGGGAATACAGGACAAAAAGAAGAAATTATATTAACCAATAAATAAGACTAGAAAAAGCTATGGCCTAGAATGCCTCAGGAGGGGGCTTCAAAAATATTTTCTTGGTAGAACCTCAAGGGAACAGGTGCAGAGAGTAAACTGGAACACTAGATGTATTTTTGGTAACCTTCAGGGGTGGAATGTAAATGGGAGCATCTCAGCTTTCCTATCTCCACACAGACAAATTGGTGACAACTTTCATACCAAGACAAAACTTGGAAACTGCTCCTGGCTTAGGGTGCTCTAAGGTATCTTTGAGTATAGCTTACAAGGCCTTTAACTGGGAATTTCCAACACTCCACCACAATTCCAATCTGCCAGTTGGAATGAGTGTGTGCTTCTGGCCAGCAGTCAGCACTTTCTTTAAGAGAAAAGCCCTCCAGGGACATGTGGTGTGAACTAGCAGAGAAACCCCATGTGATCTTGGACTCCTTGATAATTATTCACACATGTAGCTCTGCACCCAAAAGAAGGACTGTTGTTTTTAAAGGGTAGAATGGTCACAGGGGATGAAAAGGAAGAGGAGGGGCAGAGAACAGAAAAAATGGGGCCCATACCATAACTGTCATCATGATGTAAGCAACTAGAAAACTGAACCAAAAATATATGAAACAGCTACACTCAAACATGTAAGCATCATCATGAGACACAGAATACAGGTAATAGAAAACCAATTCCTTACAGAATTAAAGTGATGTAGTTCTAGTTCCCGGTTTTCTGCATGGCAGAGATTACTAGATTACAGAGTAAGTAGGATCAGAGTCTTCCTGACCAAAAAATAACCCAACAAGCTCACGAGTTGAGGAGATAGAGAAACCAAAGTAGCTAGGCCTTTCACAGAAAGAATATGGAGCTAAATGAGATAACATGGTTAGAAATCTATGGGGCTGTTTTTAATGTTGTGGATGAGTACTAGTCAAAACACTTGTAATGCAAAACAGGTTTGGGCTTGGCAAAGCACAGATCATTGGAAACATACAATTACCAGAGAGCTGCTGATGAACACTGCTGACAGTTTATGCACATCTAGGAAAAACTCTGCTCCCCAGCTGAATGCCTTCATTGACTACTGGCCATATTAAGAGCAACCCTGCCCAAGGAGACCTGAACAACATTATCAACCATCTTGCCTCAGTTTACTCTCACAGAGGACTGTACCCGGCAATGCCAGAAAGCACACATTTAACAAGCACACAATGAACTTCAAGACAGAATGTAGCACCATATCCTAGGTTTCAGCAGACCTAACATAATTGCTTTCTATGATGATGAGAAATGAAATAAGAATTCTAACCAAAAATCTAATTTTAAAAATCTCAAACATTTGAAAACCAAACAGCAAACATTTAAATGAAACAGATGCGAGGGAAGAAATCCCCAGGGCTCATCAGAACTTTTTGTACTGAATGACAATAGGCAGATATGAAACATGATTAAGCTCATGCTTACAAGAAAATTTATACTTTACAGGTTTATGCTAGGAAAGAAAAAAAGTACAGAATCAAAGCTAATGTACTTTACATTGTAAGAAGAAAGAAACACCCAATTAATGCTAAAAACAAGACAAGAAAGAACATAATTTTTAAAATCAGAAATGCAGGAAGTAGGCAATTATTTTAATACTCTTGAGCAAAAGTTAAGTTTTTTAAAATGTTAATAAGATTGGTAAATGATAAGCTAGAATGGCCAAGAAAAATAAGATATTAATTAGCCACTCCCCCAAACTAAAGGCAAGTGACTGAAACAAAACCCAAAGAGCCAGCCCACAGTGACAATCTAGACAAAAACAAATATCCACCAGCCTTTAGGCTAGGGCAGACACCTAGCTGGTCTGCTCCCATGAAGACACCATATCCTAAGCCATCCTAGAGGAAACACTGCACTCAAAACAGTGGGTAAGAACCCTCTCCCACTACCCTATGCCCCAGAGCTATAACTGGGAGCCTGAGGTGCTCAGGACCCATCAGCCACCCAAACCCCGCCCCTCTGGAATACTACTCCCCTTCTGCCCCTGGCTGGGTCCTTTTGGCTGAGGCAGACATCTAGCTGGTCTGCTCCTGTGAAGACACCATATCCTGAGCCATCCTGGAGGAACCACTGCACTTAGAGCAGTGGGAGCTCAGGATCACAGGATCACAGAGACATCTGGACTCTGAGGAGTTCTGACACAAGCAAGATAACTGGAAAGACAGGCTCCAGTCAGAGACAGTGAGTGCAAGTAGCACTAGAGGTAACTAGATGGTGAAAGGCAAGTACAAGAACATAAGCAACAGAAACCAAAGTTACCTGGCATCATCAGAACCTAGTTCTCTCACCGTAGCAAGCCCTGGACACCCCATCACACTGGAAAAGCAGGATTCAGAATTAAAATCACTTCTCATGATGATGATAGAGGACTTTAAGAAGGACATAAATAACTTCCTTAAAGAAGTACAGGAGAACACATGTAAACAGGTAGAAGCCCTTAAAGAGGAAACACAAAAATCCCTTAAGAACTGTAAGAAAATACAACCAAACAGGTGAAGGAATTAAACAAAATCATCCAGGATCTAAAAATGGAAGTAGAAACAATAAAGAAATCTCAAAGGGAGACTACCCTGGAGATAGAAAACCTAGGAAGGAAATCAAGAGTCGTAGATGCAAGTATCACCAACAGAATATAAGAGATAGAAGAGAGAATTTCATGTGCAGAAGACACTATAGAAAACATTCGCCGGGCGGTGGTGGCGCATGCATTTAATCCCAGCACTTGGGAGGCAGAGACAGGTGGATTTCTGAGTTCGAGGCCAGCCTGGTCTACAGAGTGAGTTCCAGGACAGCCAGGGCTACACAGAGAAACCCTGTCTCGAAAGACCAAAAAATAAATAAATAAATAAATAAATAAGTAAGTAAATAAATAAATAAATAAAAGAAAAAGAAAAAAGAAAAAAGAAAAAAAAGAAAACATTGACACAACTGTCACAGAAAATGCAAAATACAAAAAGCTCCTAACCCAAACCATCCTGGAAATCCAGGACACAATGAGAAAATCAAACCTAAGGATAATAGGTATAGACGAGAGTGAAGATTCCCAACATAAAGTGCCAGTAAATATCTTCAACAAAATTATAGAGGAAAACTTCCCTAACCTAAAGAAAGAGATGTCCACGAACAAACAAGAAGCCTACAGAACGCCAAATAGACTAGACCAGAAAAGAAATTCCTCCTGTCACATAATAATCAAAGCATCAAATGCACAAAACAAAACAAAAATACTGAAAGCAATAAGGGAAAAGAGTCAAGTAACATATAAAGGCAGACCTGTTAAGAATTACACCAGACTTCTCATCAGAGACTATAAAAGCAAGAAGAGCCTGGACTGACATCATACAGATCCTACGAGAACACAAATGTCAGCCCAGACTACTATACCCAGCAAAACTCTCAATTATCATAGATGGAGAAACCAAGATATTCTGTGACAAATCCAAATTTACACAATATCTTCCCAAAAATCAGCACTTCAAAAGATAATTGATGGAAAACGCCAACATAAGGAGGGAAACTACAACCTAGAAAAAGCAAGGAAGTAATCTTCCAACAACCCCAAAAGAAGATAGCTACACAAACATAATTCCACCTCTAATAACAAAAATAACAGGAAGCAAAAATAATTTTTCCTTAACATCCCTTAACATCAATGGACTCAACTCTCCAATAAAAAGATGTAGACTATCAGACTGGATACATAAACAGGACCCAGAATTTTACTGCATACAGGAAACATACCTCAGTGACAAAGACAGACACCTCAGAGTAAAAGGAGAGAAAACAATTTTCCAAGCAAATAGTCCCAAGAAACAAGCTGGAGTAGCTATTCTAATATCAAATAAAATCGAATTTCAACCAAAAGTAATCAAAAAAGATAAGGAAGGACACTTCATACTCATCAAAGGAAAAATCTACCAAGGTGAACTCTCAATTCTGAACATCTATGCCCCAAATGCAAGGGCACCCACATACATAAAAGAAACTTTACTAAAGCTCAAAAAACACATTGTACCTCACACAATAATAGTGGGGGATTTGAACACCCCACTTTCAGCAAAGGACATATCGTGGAAACAGAAACTAAACAGAGACACAATGAAATTAACAGATGTTATGAACCAAGTGGATTGAACAGATATCTATAGAACATTTCATCCTAAAACAAAAGAATATAACTTTTTCTAAGCACCTCATGGTACCTTCTCCAAAATAGACCATATAATTGATCACAAAACGGGCCCCAACAGATACAAAAAGATTGGAATAGTCCCTTGCATCCTATCAGATCACCACAGACTAAGGCTGATCTTCAATAATGACAAAAACAATGGAAAGCCCACATACACATGGAAACTGAACAATGCTGTACTCAATGATGACTTGGTCAAAGAAGAAATTAAGAAAAAAATTAAAGACTTTCTAGAATTTAATGAAAATGAGGACACATCGTACCAAAACTTGTGGGACTCCATGAAAGCAATACTAAGAGGAAAACTCATAGCTCTAAGTGCCTACAAAAAGAAACTGGAGAGAGCATACACTAACAACTTGACAGCACACCTGAAAGCTCTAGAACAAAAAGAAACAAATACACCCAAGAGGAGTAGACTCAGGGCTGAAGTCAACTAAGTAGAAACAGAAAGAACTGTACAAAAAAAATCAACAAAACCAGGAGCTGGTTCTTTGAGAGAATCAACAAGATAGATAAACCCTTAGCCAGACTAACCAGAGGGCACAGAGACAGTATCCAAAT